CTACAACATTTCATATTTTAGTTTTTAGCTATTGTTTTGCTACGTTTGACTTTTAGCTGTAATTTGCTCATGTTAGTTTTTAGATATGGTTTGGCTGATTTCAGCTTTGTTGAACTTTAACCTTTCATCAGCTATATTCACTTTTTTATTGTTTTGTAAAAATATAGAAAGTTCAAAGTTCTCCATTTTGCACCACATCTAAATATGCAGGATCTGACTACAGTCACAGTAGAATATAGTAGCCTGGTAGTATGAGTGTATTTGTGCAGATAATGAGGGGCGGCTCTCCTCCTCCCACCGCCCACTCCCTGTCCGCCCACCAGCGGACTCCGTCATTTCTTTAACCCATCCATCACTTGTTGGATGTGTCCGTTTGGAATGAATTTTCTGGTTGTTCTTTTCCATCTAGGAGTCCACTGAAGCATCCCGCCGCTCTCCATAAAATCGCCTTTTTTTAAAACGTCTTCGTGCGCGTAAAAGGCGCGTTTTCCTGGAGCGTCCCGTGCGGTTCGCTGCAAGCGTCTCCCAGTGATGATGATGAAGGTGATGCTGTGGTTCTGGTTGTCCCCGCAGCCTTGTGTCTGACCTCCAGTCTGCAGCGGGTTCCACAGCGGGCAGTGTGTTTGGTTTCACCCCGGCGGCGGACTGCGCCTCCCGGACTCCGGCGCAGATTGGAGAAGTTCCGCTGCGGTCCGGTCCAGGCTCCGCGCGCGCCTCTGCTGTCCTGCTGCTGCTGCTGCTGGGCTTTTCCAGTCCCACTTCACAGGATTAATACCAGGCGAACTGTAGAGACCATGTAACAGAATCAGGTACGTGCAGAAACAATTGGATTTGAAGGAAATATTCTGCAAATGTGATTTTTTTTTTCTGATTTAAAAAATGAGCTTGCAGTGGTACTGTATGTGCAAACAAAGTGAGCATTCGTTCTGATGAAATTCCCTTTAAACTTGAAATGTGCCTTTAGTCCGGCTGTCTGAGTAAAGAGGCAGTGGAGAAGCTCAGCAGGACATGGAGTCTTGGGGTTTTGCCAATTCATAGCTGCTGTGATCTTTTGGCATTTCCTAATGAAAGGACTCGCTTTAAAATTAAAGAAGGAGACAGAAGGAGAACATGATGAAGATCCAGTTGTCAGAATGGAACAAAGGAGCTAGAATACTGCATGTGGTGCTCCTGTTCCAAAGCCTAAGGTCACATTTTTATTTTTTTTAAATTCTATTTATTTGCCTTAAAACTGGGTTTGTTCTAAAAAAAAACACATCTGTGGCCTATTTCAGTGTTTTTCAACCCTGGTCCTCAAGGCACTCTGTCCTGCATGTTTTAGAATAGATGCCTCCCTGCTTCAACACAGCTGATATAAATTGACAACTGATTAACAGGATTTTGATGAAACACAATCATCTGAATCAGGTGTGTCAAAGCAGGGAGACCTCTAAAACATGCAGGGCAGTGGGCCTTGAGGACCGCGGTTGAAAAACACTGACCTATTTGTTGCAACATCTTTAAAAACAGTCAGAAAAAAATGAGAACATTTTCTCACATCTTAAAGTTAAAATTAGCCTTTTTTTAAAATGGCAGATATCATTTATTCAGACTCATGACCCTGCTTGTGTCAAGCTCAAATTTGGGTTCACAACATTACTGCAATCCATAGATGGTCTGCTGCTCAAGTTTCCAATTAAGTTCTTTGTTTACATTGAGCGCATACCTGCATTTCAAAATTGCATACTAGTGTGTCTGGAAATCTACTAGTCCTGGCCTGCAGATGAGTTTAAACTGTAGAGTCCTGGCCTGCAGATGAGTGTAAACTGTAGAGTCCTGGCCTGCAGATGAGTTTAAACTGTAGAGTCCTTGCCTGCAGATGAGTGTAAACTGTAGTCCTGGCCTGCAGATGAGTGTAAACTGTAGAGTCCTGGCCTGATGATGTTTCTCTTCTGTGCTGTGCCATTCTTTTGAGCAGTAACTGTTGTGTTTCCACATGTATAATAGTTCACAGTCCTTCTGGTACTTAACAGCATACAAAACATTACTCTGTTTGAGCCAGAGGACTGGATCTTTGAGGTGAACCAGTGTTTACAGTTTGTGTTTTAGGGTTTGAAGGCCACTGGGATGTCATGTTTATAAAATAAACATCTCTGTTTCTCTGAAACTCTCACAACATCTGTTTTTTTTTTTTTTTTTTGGGGGGGGGGGGTCCTCCGTTTCACACAATGTTTGACTGGTGTCCTGTTTGGGTTTCTTGTCTGCTTTGCGGAAAGTCCAGTTGGGATAACCACACTGCTCCAGGGTCTGTCTTGTGTGAGATTTCTCCTTCTCCCTAGCTCCTGTGTTTGAGGACTGGAGCGAACTCTTTCCCACTGCACTTTTGAACACAGTTCAATATACTTTTCATGTTTAATATAATACTTTGCGATGAGTATGCTCAAAATTATTGGGACTTTAATCTTTAGCACAATAAATTGGCTTTTATCCCAGGAAATAAAGAGCATTGATCTGTCAGCAGCAGGTTCTGTGTCACGGTGACCCATTTCTCACACAGGAAGGACCGAAGGTGCAGCTTGACTAAACGACTGTGGAGCAGCATTTTTTTCCTCCTTTTTTTAAACTGCTGATTTCTCTCTCCACCCCTCCAACCTCCTGTGACTGTAATACAACAGGAAGTGGGCTGATTTCCCAGGGGAGTCTGCAGTCAGGGCCGTCACAGCAGCAGCAACAGACACAATTTATTCAATGCAAAGGTTGTATAACGGTGCACTGTGCCAGCACCTCAGAACACTGACAGAAATTATAGCTGGTCTGTAAGGCTGGAGAACAACACTTCTTTTTTTTCTCTCATTTATATGCCTTCATTGCTTTATTAATATCACCTGCAGGTAAAAGGTGATGGTGGACAATAACATTTTTGCCTGCGTCTGTCTGTTAACAAAATATCTAAAGACTTGCCAGATCGATTTTACTGAAATTCTCAGAAAGTAGTCACTACATGTACATCTACAATTGACTAACTTTTGGAGTCAACATCATTCAAGATGGGGGCCACAGTCCACCAACTCAAAAATCATGAAAACGGCTACACCTCTGTCAGTTTATAAGAATATTCACCTAAATTTAGTGTGGTGGTCGCTGAGACTGATCCCTACTGATCCTTGTTCTGAACTCTAACAGAATGCGCAAAATTAGTTTGAAGTTTATATAAATATGTGGCATCAAATCTTTTTCTGTTAGCAAAATATCTCATGAACCACTGGGTGGATTTTAATGAAACTTGCAGATGATTATCAATGGACTTGAGTCTATGAGCGATTTTCTTGTGGAGTCAGTTTAATTAAAGACGACCAACACAGCCAATTGAACTTAGAAAACACAAATATGGCTATAATTCAGTCAGTTTTACCGATATTTTACTCAAATTGGACAAGGAAGTAGCTGAGAGTTATTTACAACACATCTCCAAGTGCTATTTATTGCAAACGATTTTTCTAGCATTTATAACTGGTTACCTTTGGAGTCCAATTCAAGATGGCTGCTACAATTAATTAGCTTTGGCAAAAATGGCTATTATTGTCAGTTTTACAGCTTTTGAGCTAAAGGTTGGTGTAAACTGAAAGRCTCTACTTGTCACATTTTATCTGCTAATAAACCCCGTATCTACTAAAGCTTTAAAATGTACACATGATTCCTGCGTATAATTCTTCCACTCAAAAATTTCAAAACACCTGAGTCAGGCTGTGGGACTCACACACATAAGGAAAAAGTCAAAGAGTGAAGGAAGATAGTTCAGATGAATTAWTAACCAGAACATGGTCGAACTTTTCTGTTGAGCGAGGCTCCGATTCTTGCATCATGTCCCCACAAGCCGAACATGTGAGGGTTATAAAGGCTTTGATTGTGCTATTATATATTCTATAATTAAACAAGAGCTCATTCTGCTGAACCAGAGTCTCGGCACCGCATCGTTTCAAAACTTGCCGTGCAGTGAGAAGAATCAGAATGAGCCGTTTTGAAAATTAAAGCTGCTGAAAAGCTCAAAGAAGAGTTATCTGCCAGATTTGGTCTCTAGCCTGAGGGAGACTTCTGTACTTAGCCTGGTTTGGGTTGTTATGTACTTCTGTGGAGACTTTACTTGATGTACTCACTGGAACAACATGCACAAAGGAGTGTTTTTTGTTGTTGTTCTGTAGTGTGTGTGTGAGTGCGTGTGTGTGTTGGGTTGAGGTCAATGGTGGTGAGAAGAGTCAGAAACCAGCCAGCAAAGAGGAAAGTGTTTCAGTGTTTCAGGGGAGTTCTTTTAATAATTTATAATCCCTTGAGGGTTTTGTGGCTGCTGGGTTGGTGTTTCAGCTACATGTTGAGTGCTCAGTAAAAACGCGTTAAAGGTGAGGTGAGCTGCAGCTGCTGCAGCACAAGACTGCATGCCGTTATGGTGGCTGCTTTCTGTTCTGAGGGTCAACAAAAACTAACAACCTTTTATTCGCAAAGTTTTTAAATTTTAGTGTATTATGTTGGTTTTATGCCTCAGTTACTTCTGTATATAACCATATACAATCAGTTTCATTCCCCACCTTAGCTCCCAGTCATCATATCTGCTGGATATTATTTAAAATTTTGACATTTTTCTTTGTTAGTATGTGTTGGGGTAGCCTGGTTAAAACCAGACCCTGTCCTTCACTTTGCTTCGTACGAGGGTCTGGACTTGATGCATAGAGAATCGATTTCTTGCAGGAGGCGTGGCCTCTGCTGAAGCATGTGTGTGTTGTTGBTGTGAWGGAGGCTAAGCTAAGAAGCTRACYGGAAATCGCGTGYGCTGTAAACAACCCTACTGAGAGGAGAAATATACTGAGCCAAACGAGACGACTGTAAATGAGAGCTGCTGGTTTGTCAGACAAATTTAATTTAATTTGGAAGCCTTATCAACACAGACTGGCTTCATTCACTTCCTCCACTGCCGTATGCTAAACTAACTAGCAGACACTGCACAGAAAATCGACGTCGTTCAAAACTCCGCCTTCTGTTCTCTGATTGGCCCAGGTAAAATAACAAGCAGACACTGCGCAGAAAATTGACGTTCTGTTCTCTGATTGGCCCGGCTAAAAATCTGCCAGCGAAATCCATCTCAATGGGAGAAGTCCCAGACGGAGCAGAGAAGGAAAACTAGAATTGAGCGGAGCTGCGTAGGAAGGCAAGGGCCAGGCTAGTGTTGGGGAGGAGGGGGGACACGATGTATTTTACAGGTACATAGTTCAATTGCATGCCCCATTCAAATAACTATATTTCCTTCAGTTGTTATGAAAAAGCTAAATATATCAAAAATAAAATTGACTGCATCATAATCTATCCAAACACCTTGACATTTGCCTCTGTCTCTTTAAGAACCTCCTACCGTTTCTGACATTCCCACTTCACAACAATGCTTCATGCCATTTACAACCTTTCATAGGAGCGTTGTATTTTTTTTGTAAAAAAAATAGCAAAATTTTTATGATGTTAGTTTTAGAAAATCACTCTGGATGAAGTTGAACTTTACTCGAATGATCTCTTGTCGAGCCCAGAAAAAATGATTCCTGAAGAACCGGAGCGAGTACAGAGGCTGTTACAAGACGTTTCAGCTTGGTAATATTTCTTCCAGTCATCCTCTCACACATCCGTCAATGTTAAGCTACTTTTTGCAAAGAAACTACAAATGTAGATCATTATGAAGCCATGTTTTACAATGAAATCATGCACATTTTTCAAGAAGATATGTTTTGCAATGAAATTACAGTGATATGTTGGGAAATATTGAGAATGTCGACTGCCTCTAGTCTGGTTGATG